TCATATGATGGCATACACAAATGCTTTTTAGAGATACCATGCTGGGATAAGTTGACAAGGATGACCCGGGTACTGAGGGGAATTCATATCTGGGCGTAGTTGTAATCTATTTGCAACAGCCTGATGAAGAAACTTTGATTTGAGACGTGGCTGTTTGGGAAAAGAGGAAGAGTAATGAAGTCAAGGATAAATCCCAAGTTTTTGGTTTAAGCAACTGGCTTGATGGAAGTGCTTCTGAGATTCAGAACACTGGAGCGGAGAGGAGAGAGATCATGGGTTCAGTTGTGTATATGCTGAGTTTGGGGTGTCTGTAAGTCATTCAAATGGGATATTGAATAGACAGATCTGTGGGTTTGGAGTGCAAAGGAGAGAAAAATATAAGCAATATAGAATGCAGCTGAAGTCAACGAGGGAGAAGGCATAGGACCAAGGCTTACAGAATCTCTGCTTTTAAAAGTCCACTAGAGGAGAATGAACTAGCAAAGGAGATTGAGAATTAGAAAGTCCAGAAAGGTAGAAGAAATACTAGATGATTCTGAAGTAATGAAAGTCAAGGGAAGAGAATGTTTAAGAAGGAGGGAGAATTCTTCTGAGAGGGCAAATAAGATGACTGAAAATGTTTCATTGAGTTTTGTGACGTGAAAGTCATTGGTGTGACATTAGAGCTACTACACTACACTGTGCAGAAGCTAGTTGGCAGCCTGCAGGTTGTAAGGGGTGAATGGGCAGTTAGAAAATGAAATAACTGCTCTGTTTAGTGTTTTATCTGTTATGGGAAGGAGAAAGATAGAGCAGGGGCCAGCTATGGGGTTGAGGGGAGATGTAGTAAAGGCAGAGAGGCTCGTGGTATAGGAGAGTGAAAAGATAAAGAGTGTAAGGGAGCTGAGAAATTAGTAGGAAACCAGAGAATGAATGCAGGTGAATCCAGGTTTGTAATGGTTGGCAGTGCATAGTCAACACAATTTCTTGCCAGTGGTTCTGTTTTCTCTGTGATGTAAGAGGCTATGGCATTTTTTGAGTATGAGAAGACAGAATACCTTAGGAGCAGAGAAGTTTGAAGTAGTCTGTGGAAATTGGGAAAGTGAGTTTTCTAGAGATGTGTGGTGGGATTGACAGGCAGTCGTGAGGGCTGTGGTTGGCTCCACTGTGTCCTGTGCCTGATTTTCCCTTGGTGTGCCTAGCTGCCCGTGTAGTCATGGAGAAGATGAATAATTGTGTTCGTCTAGGGAGGCAATTATGGCAGATTGATGCAATGAAAGGATAGAGGAGCAAGGGAGTTTAGCGAGTCAGGAAGTGATTTAAATGATGAACTACGAACTCTTAAGACCGGTATGGGTAGATGTGGAGGTAGGAGGTGAAGAGGGGATAAGAAGAATGTGGAAGCAAGATAACTACAGGATCCAAGAAGAAATGGTTGAGTAAACAAGCTGGAAAAATAGGACAGTTGTGTCAGAGTGGATGTTTTCATTCTATGCATCACACACTCGGTAGAACCTAAACCTTCGCACATAGTGGTGGTGTTCCCTACCTGGGGGTGATGTATTTAAGTAGATTTTACTCAGTGTTTCTCTGCTGAGTTGCCTTTTGTTACTTATGTAAGACTAACTATTTAATATTAGGTTTAGAATGCTAAGACTCGCTCATGTTTGCTTTGGAAACTATATGTAGATGAAAAGTTTTTTGCTTTTCTTATAAAGAAACATATTTTAGGTATCTCATGACATCTTGCAGCCTATGATAGACCCAAACAAGCAGAGCTTTTTTTTTTTTTTAAATAATTTTATTTATTTATTTTTCCCCCAAAGCCCCAGTAGATAGTTGTATGTCATAGTTGCACATCCTTCTAGTTGCTGTATGTGGGATGCGGCCTCAGCATGGCCGGAGAAGCGGTGCGTCGGTGCGTGCCTGGGATCCGAACCCGGGCCGCCAGCAGCGGAGCGTGCGCACTTAACCACTAAGCCACGGAACCGGCCCAAGCACAGCTTTCTTAGCAGAGTTACAGAATCCATTAGGACGGCTGTACCAGGAGAGCTACAGAGATATTTCAACAAGAATGAAGACGTGTTTAGGAAGATGAATTAGGTCCATGGTAAGAATGTAAGAATGAGTGTTGGATATGGAATGGAGGGGAACAGGTCACTGGGCATGAAGAAATGAAGGGAAGAGAACCTGTCATGTTGGCCACGCAGATAGACGTTGAAATCACGTGGTTATGGCTGGAATTGAGGTGTAGAAGACTTCACTGAGGGGAGAGGGCCCTGGAGGTGGTCGATGACAGTGATGAGGCAGGGTGGAGGGCAGTATAATTGGATCGCATGGACCTCTGAGCAACAGGGTTTTGTTTTCCTTTTTAGGTGGTAAGGAAATGAAAATGGGTAAAATGAAATGGAAATGGGTAAAAACAAGAGCTCCTTTCCCCCTCCTCCACACCCCGAAAATTAGGGATGGCTAGTGCCGTAGTGGTGTGAACCCTAGACCAGAATGCAGATTCTCAGGCCCCACTCCACACCTACAAAATCAGAACTTTGGGGTGGGCCCAGGAATCCGTTTTTTGTTATGCCCACCAGGTGACTCTGATGTGCTCGGAAGTTTGAGAACCATTGCTGAAAATGATAGCTGATCGGGTGAGGGGAGGGAAGTAGTCAGTGTTGACCCATGAGCAGTCTGAGGGATTTTCACCTGGTAGGGTTTGGAGGCAGGTAGAGCCCTGGACTCAAGGACATAGGTCTTGGCTCTGTGGTCTCCAGTGACATCAGGCTGGTAATAGTACTCAGAGCACATGTTAGAAGTTAGGTCTTTGCTTGGACCTAGGAGTTTGCTGTTAGTCCCAGCAGCTAGTATAAGGACTAGTTAACTTTAGTTGTCTTGGCTAGGGTTTTAAAAACATGATTCGCTGTATGCAAATTAAATTTATTTTTAAACTTTTCATGAACATTTTCCATCATAAAAATGAGTTATCTTAAGAGAGAGTTATTTGGAATTCAGAATTTCTTTTTCCTTAAGAAATGTGATAGGTGAAATGTTATTTCAGAGAGATTTATCCTAATCACCCTATTTAGAATAACAGATGTGCCATTATTGTGAAACTGAGAAAGGAAGACATTTAATCAAAATAACTGTAAAACTCTTGCAAAAGAGGAAGGAGAAGGTTAGCCATGGGATGTGTGAATATGTGTAATAAAGGTTTGTTGAGGAGGAATAATCAGAGCTGTGTTGAAGAAGCCTCAGGTGTGAGGTATACCCAGATTTAATAGCTATGACTCTTGTCTCAGTTTAGCGTTTGGCCTCAGACCTGTAATTGAGAATGCAGCGGGCCTTGCGCTGCCCAGTACAGGGAGAGAAGAAACGCTAGCACTCTGGCAGTCTTGGTGGCAGGCTAGCATCCTGAAAAGAGCTGTGAATTGGAGATGAAGAGACTTGTGCACTCGTCTTGATTGATTCAATAAAAATGTGTCGCATGGATGACTTCAGCAAATATTTGCATGCCTATTTTGTACCAAGGCGCATTTTATAGACAAGGAAATTGAAGTACAGAAGTTTAATGACCTTCCCCAAGTGAAAGTAAATGAAGAAGCTGGGAATTGAATCCAGGACTCTTAAGTCTGAAATGGGTTACCCGCCATGTGAGTGTAGTGGCTTGGTTTCCAGTGGTCCTAAGAAGGGTCTCTTGTCACTCTCGTTCTCCTTTTGAAAACAACAAAACAAAAGAAAGCCTCCAAAATATTTGTCTAATAAGTTTGTATGATGATGGGTCATCTTAAACCCCTGTCAACAGATGATTCATTTTCATGTAACGTTTTAGCCAGCACTGACTTTAGTTGGACAAATCCTTGAGGAAAGGAAGGCGGGGACATGGCTCTTGGTCAGAGGACACCTAAGACACTCCTCCGTTTTGTTTTGTTGGCCCTGATGCCTTGTTCACTCTCTCCCAGCTCTGGGCCGTGGAATATTGGTACCGTAGGTTGCTGACTCCTCTTCAGAACATTTAAATGTTTGATTTGCATGTGAAGTTAAAGACTTATAAATGACTTTAAAGGCTACTGCATTGCTCTGGATACTATTTGTGCTAAATTAATTTAGTATACTAATTAGAGCTCTGATGAATTCTGTCAACTGCTAATCTAAAATCAGTGAATAAATGGTACTAAAATTGGGCTGGTTTTATTTCCCAGAAGAGAATATTTGGAGATGGGGCTGGAGGGAAGTAGAAAAAAATCGGAACGCAGTTGTACAATCTCCAGTTCCCTCTCTGAGACAGTGTTTCCTAGATCACCACTCTTACTGCTGAAGAGCCCCTTCTTTCCCTGTCCCCTCCCTCCAGCCTTCCTTGCATTCCTTCCCTCCTTCGTGTCCTCTCCCTTCCCCTCCCCCTGTGCCTTCCTTCCCAGCTCTCTCTCCCTCCTTCTCCAGTGAAACATTTTTTAATTGTTGCTTTACCTTTGCTGTTGGAAGAATTAGTCTTGGGATGGTAATGCCTATAAATCAGAATTCTAGAGCATTAATTAATTTCTTACCGTTTAGGCTTCTGTTTCATTCAAACAAACAAAGTAATGGCGTTTTCATGTAGGCGTTTGGTTACATTCTGAAGGGCCAAATCAAGCTCTTTCTGGGCATGGGGCCACATTTTATAGCAAGGCTTGTTTCAGTTTTGAATGATTTGGTAGTTAGGCTAAAACCATTAAAGATTGATTCCAAGAAAACAAAACTGGCGGTACAATTTGTTCCATTTCATTTTTCCGGCATGCTTGATTTTTTTAGAGTTTGGGTTTGGGAGACAGGACCAACTGAGAAAGGAATCCCATAAGGGGAGAAAGGCTGTGGAATTGTTAGGAGTGCATTTCAGCCTGAGTGATTAGCAGTATTTGGCCATGAGGAAGAGGCCTCTAAAAATAACTGGTGAGCAGAGTGTGCAGTCAGGTCCAATTTCAGGTCTGGAGGCCTTGCCGGTGGAGCGGGTGGCCAGTCCGGAGCTCCAGTAGGGACGGGCATGTGGCCTGCCTGATACCTGCTGATCGCGCAGTGATTTTTTTCCTTCAATACATATTATTCATGGATTGAAGAAATCAAAATGGCTGAAGGTAAATGTGTATTTTTATTGTTTGAGTTAAAAGTGGTTTGGGATCCAGCTGACAGTCTTTAGCTTTATTTTTGGTTGTGCACTGTTAAAATATTTTTGACTATGTGCTTTGACTGCCTCGTCTACATTTTCTATTTTGAACTCCTGGTTTTCACGGTAGTTTAATTTTTCACGGTAGTTTAATTTTTCATGGGATGATCTGTCTTTAATCTGAATATGTTTTGGTGTCTTAACTTGGAATATGTTTTAGTATATTGTACTACCAGAGACCGCATTTTATAAACTTCAGAAAAATGTACAAGCAATCTTCCTTAGTCTTAGAAGTTAATTACAGTGAATTTAAAAAGTTGTGTGTATTTAGATCTCATAAAATTATAGGAAATTGAAGGCGTGTATAAGTCCCATCTTGTGTTAATGAGCACTCTTGGTTGGCTCAAGCAAAGACTTAACCATATGTGGAAACTGACCTAATTTTGGTGAGGCAGATGATAAATGCAAAGAAAAAGACACTCGGATTTTATTTTGTTTTTTAAAATTGAAACATTAACTTTCGAGTGCTCTTTAGTGATGTGTTGAATATACATTTTTTGTGTATGTTTGCTTTTGCTTTACTTTGTAAGTTAAGATTATCTTTCCATTTAATTGAAAGCAAGCTACATTGACTCATTATATTGAAAATTTAAGAAGGAAAAAATAGATGTATTAAGACTGCTTCCAACTCTTAGCTGCCTAAGCGACGACTGGAAGGATTCTGTTGTTAATATGGAGAATATGAGTATTTCTACTTTGAACACTGTTTTGATAAATGGTTAGGATAGGTCACTTGACTAGTCTTATAAAGTGCCTCATGTAGCCACGAAGAAGAACATGAAATATATATCTGACTTTTAGTTCTTTTAGAATGCATTTCTCCCCTTCTCCATGGATCACTTAATGTGCATAGTGAGGTAAGGTCAGCTGTTACTTCTGACCCACTTTTAACAGTTCTTGGCTCTCAAAGGGTGAGATTTTGTAACGTGGAAAAATAATCAGTTTGATGAATTACTTGACAATTTTTAAAAACTTTAAATGCGTAGAGTTTATGTATAAATATGAAATCACCAGCAATGCTAACCAAAACTCGTAAATGGTTGGTTTGTAATTCAGTTAGTTGTAGTCTGGTTAAGTAATTGCCTACTGTTGAGGTGTGGGGTATATTTTCTATTTTTCCTTTCCTCAACCAAATAAATAACATTACCTGTTGTCCCTAGCCCAGTCTTCATTTTGGAGAGAGACATGTTTCATTGCTCATCATGGTAATTTTCTGCTTTTGGTAGTATGGAGGAACATTTTCTGATTTGGAGCTTGTTACTTTTGATGGGTCACCATGGAAAACAGTGAATCACATAGTTCTTGCCATATTCTTAACCCTCATTGAAAAAATCTTTTTGACTAGTCTCTGGGACTACAGGTCAAATATGGAGCCAGAAAATGAAATGAAGACTGTTAGATTTATTCTGACCTTAGCAAATATGGACAACTACTAGATGTTCTTCCAGAATACCTTTCGAACAAAGTACTGGTTTCAGGTTTGCTTAGGGAGTTTTAAACTCTCTTGAAGGGTTTATCTTACTATGTTTTTTTCAGTTTAATTGGACAGAAACTGATCTGCCCTTTGGGACTAGGCACACCATATTTAGAAACTGACATATCAGGAGTGTATGATTTGGTGTCAGTTAAAAAGTTCCCCTAAAAAAGATGTCTTAGGAAAGACTCTTTTCTATAATTTACTGTTTTGTTCCTTTATGGAATTAGTAAATATTAATAGTAATAAGATTAATAACACCAAAGTAACACCTCATTTATTTGACATTATAAAGGGATAGGTAAAATATTGCTAATAATTTCGTACTCTTAAGTAATGTTTATACTTTTTTGACATGTACCGTTTAAAGTGATAAATCTGTTTAATAAAAAATATTTTGAGTGAAAATCTTTCTAAGATTTATTATACATTTCTTGCATTCTTAAGCAGTTTGAAATAATATTTTAATGGCAGAATCAATATGAATATCATGACCTTGTACTAAAGATTATTTTAAGGACTATTCAGGATTTGCCCGCAAGCTTCAGTCATAAATGGCCTCCTGCCACTATTCTTTTCTAGTCCTTGTGTCTACTCTTGCTGCTGGTTTTCTCACCTTTTATAGGCCTTCCCTGTGTCAGCACTTTGTTGCTTTAACTCTTTTGGATTAGATTTTCTTTAAAGTCTATTCTTTAGTTTTGTGCAGTGGGTTAGGAAACTTGATTGAAGTGGTTAGAATCATGTCCAAAATAAATGTAAATCAATTCTAGGTAAAGGTGTATTCTTTATTGTGTTTGGCTTTCTCTCTCCTCCCCCTCCCAATCCCTTCTCTCTGTTTTGGTGCATGCATTTATGCAATTTTTTAAAAAAACCTTTTTCCACTTTTTACTTATATTTGGTGTTGCAGGTTGCAACCTTAGATGAATGTTACTAAATTAACTTGGATAAATGATACTTTCCTTTTGAGAATCTCGGAAATTTTCCTCCTCCATTTCTGCTTTAAGAAAGACATAGAAATGGAGAAAGAATTGAACTTTGAATTCAAATTATTATTTTGTTTTATTAGTATTTTATGATGTTTATTTTAAATAGCATTGTCTTGGGTGTACTTTTATTGAGGTCTACGTCTTGAAAACTTAATTGTTGAGTAAAAATTGTGTCATGTCTGGCACATGTATGCTGAATGAATATGTGGAATGAATAAAAGGATGAACTATTTATGTAACTTTACCATTTCCTAGTTAATAAGGAACAGTACAAGAGACTAGTGTCAATTACAAAGTGTCCGAGAGGAGATAAGAACCCAGTTTTCCTGCAATTTTAGCACTCATTTTAAATAGAAAATTTCGGTTTGACTCTTAGAGGCAATAAGTAGCCAAGGGAGGAACATTCTTAGTCATGAACTATTATAGTTCCATATTTGGAAGTAAAAGGATGCTCCTGAAGGCATTACTCTTATTATAATTAGTATTCTATCCAAATGGGTATTATGCATATATCAGTATGTTATATAGAAATAAGGGTTTTTAAATGCAGTATTAAAAAATGTCTTCATGTTTATAGAACTTTAATAAATGAAACACACAACACTGCTACTGAATCTATGCTCCCCTCCCCCTGCAGAAGCTAGCCACTTTTTTCTTTTCTTTTTAACAATTTTAATGGTGCTTTATTTTATATTGTTGTTCTTATAATTCCTGTGCTTAAGACACATAAGAATATCAGGAATCATCATTTCCCCCCACCACCATTGCAGAAATTTTCACCCAGTCTCCCCCTCCCATGGCTATGTTCAGATAATGAAACAGTGACACCTGTTTTAAGTGGATTTAGTATGCAACATTTTGATCTGTGCCCAGCAAGGACTTTTTTAATATATAAATTAAGTTTTTATATAGCTGGCTTTTAGGAGACTTGTAATAGATCATGTTAGAAACAAATTAGTGGGCCGGCCCCGTGGTTTAGCGGTTAAGCGCACGTGCTCCGCTACTGGTGGCCCGAGTTTGGATCCCGGCGCGCACCGCTGCACCGCTTCTCCAGCCATGCTAAGACCGCGTCCCACATACAGCAACTAGAAGATGTGCAACTATGACATACAACTATCTACTGGGGCTTTGGGGAAAAAAAGGAGGAGGATTGGCAGTGGATGTTAGCTTAGAGCCGGTCTTCCTCAGCAAAAAGAGGAGGATTAGCATGGATGTTAGCTCAGGGCTGATCTTCCTCACGAAAAAAAAAAAGAAACAAATTAGATGGCTGTGTGTTATTTGGTAAGTATACTTCTGTGAATTCACCATTTGATTATTTATAAATCTGGCCGTTCTTGATGGATCTGTTAATATTTCAAAGAACATTAGAAAAGGAAATTGACTTTTTCTTTAAGAATGAAATTTGTCTTTTTTAATCATCATTATTTTATATACTTAAACATAGATATTAGATAAAGACGTGTATGTTTGAATGTGTATATACACACATATACATACACTCTCTCTCTCAGATTGATTTAGTTTTTGTGGCTCCTTTTAAAAAGTTGATCCAGTGGTTGGTTTAAAAAATGTGTATCTTTTTAACAAGAAGAATTTCATTTTACTTTTTCTTCAGAAGAGTTGGCAGTATATTCTTGATTTGAGCCACTGGAAAACTACTACCAGTATTCTGTGATTAGAAATGGATTTAGGAGTCAGAAGGCAGGTTCCAGATTAGAGCTAGTGAGGTTGTTTGAAATCATGTAATTTAGCCCACTCATATGGATCAAGGAACTAAGGACCATAGAAGTCAGGGTTTATTCCTAGCTCCACCCAACTAGTGCTGGTGCCTTTGGGAATCACTTAATTTTTTCTCTGTAAAACAGAGATGATTGTTCCTGTCCTTACCCCAGTGGTTCTCAACCAGGCACTGCCCCTGTAGGGGATGCTTGGAAATGTTTGGGGGTGTTTTTGTTTGTCATAATCACTTTGAGCTGCTTACCTTTGGGACCAGAGGAAACCAGGGGTGCCAGCTGCCCTGCAGTGTGAGGAACAGTGCACAGGATGAAGAATGTCCTGTGTAAACATCCAGAAACACCCTCTTGAGAAACACCGAGAAGACCATTGTGAGACTCACGTGCAGCCATGCGCGTAGAAGCACTTTGAAAGCGATGACACGGGTCAACAAGAGAAGACAGTGTCCTACTTTCTACGTGGCTGATAATCTTTTCCTTTTCTCAAAGGGCATTTTGAGATATGACATATCCTTTTAATTTATTTATTAGCATTCATATAATTTTTATTCCATTCCTTTTTAAGAGAAATTTGATTATTATGGTCCTTCCTTTTAAGGACAATGGTGACCATTTTCTATTAATATCACTTGACTCTCATTATTTTTGGCTGTAGGAAGAATGTTTCCAGAAGACTATAAGGTGTATTAAACATATCAAATGTGATAAGTGACACTTTTGGTGGACAGCAGTTTACAAAGTTGTTTCCTGCATCGAGACCAATTGTGAACGAGCCTTTTCCTGTTTCCGTAGGTCCCAGTGGATCTTGTAAAGGAGGAGGACTGAGTTGTTGGACTGTTTTGTTTCTCTTCTTCCCTGACCTCTGTTTCCTATAAATAGTTTCCTTCCTTCTGTTTCTCTCTGGCTAAGAATATGGAGTGGTTTTGGGGGGAGATATTTTCAGTGGCAGTTAACAGAGTTTTTAAGATTCTATGGAAACTAAATGAGACAGAGAAAAGGATTTGGCTGCATTTCTATATGATTTCATTAAGTTGTTGATATGCTCTGAACTTTGAAGGAGGTTACATTTAGGTAGTTTGGATAAAGGACTTAGAAGGAAGAAATATACATAATATATGAGTGTTTATTGTTAGCCCATCGGTAGTTTATTTCCTTTGTTACTTTGAAGTTAAGGTTTTACTACAGTATTATCTAAGCAGAATCTTTTCTAGTTTCAAAATCTTTATTTTATGTAACATGTTTTGAGAATTTAAGTGAAAACTGTTTTTGATATGATTTACCATTATAAATACTCTCAAATTACTGGAGAAATAATTCAGCAAAAAGAGGTGTTCAATAAAGGATTTTCTTCTTATATGATGACATTGTACATCTATTTTATTTTTAAACAGAGACAAAGCATGGAGGACACAAGAATGGGAAGAAAGGAGGACTTTCTGGAAGTTCGTTTTTCACATGGTTTATGGTCATTGCATTGCTGGGAGTTTGGACATCAGTAGCTGTCGTCTGGTTTGATCTTGTTGATTATGAGGAAGTTTTAGGTAAGAATTTTGATATTGTTTCTTATGTGAATTTATACGAGTGTAAATGACATCCCTTAGTAATCTTAAAGATTTATCATCATCTTCTTGGTACTGTTAATTTCTGTAGCCTTTCGGTGGTTCTCTACCTTGGAATAGTGGCTTTTCAACTTCTTTGACCATGATCCGTAGCAAAAAAAAAAAAAAAATAGGCTTTATGTTGTATGTATATCACACAGAAAAGTTTTATCAAACAGTACTGACTCGCACTACGTGTGATACTATATAATTCTATTCCATTTTGTTATATTATGAATTTTAGAAATATTGGTCATGATTCACTGAATTTATTTAAGGACTCATTAATAGATCACACACAATTTGCAAAATAACTAATAAACACAATTCGCAAAACCGTGCCTTAGAGAGCATTTCAAAGCACACTCCTTTTTGTCTTTGTGGGAATCAGTGTGTGTAGATGTGAGTGTGTGTGTATGTGCTGGTATAGGGGTGTGTGAATGTGAGTGTGTGTGTAGGTACTGGATAGGTGTGTGTAGGTGTTGGTATAAGGGTGTGTAGATGTGAGTGTGTGTAAGTGCTGGGATAGGGGTATGTGGATGTGATTGTGTAGGTGTTGGGATAGGTGTGTGTAGGTGTTGGTATAAGGGTGTGTGGATGTGAGTGTGTGTGTATAGGTGTGATCTGTATGCTGTTCTGAGGAAGTTGCTGTGTTATTCTGGTAGTTGTCCTCCTTTCTCCTCCATTTTCCTTTTCTCTCCCCATAATCATTGCAGTTTTTTGTGATTTTTTTTTTTTTTTTTTTTTTGTGAGGAGATCAGCCCTGTGCTAACATCCGCCAATCCTTTTTTTTTTTTTTTTGCTGAGGAAGACGGCCCTGGGCTAACATCTGTGCCCATCTTCCTCCACTTTATATGGGACGCCGCCACAGCATGGCCTGCCAAGCAGTGCGTCGGTGTGCGCCCGGGATCCGAACCAGCGAACCCCGGGCCGCCACAGCGGAGCGCGCACACTTAACCGCTTGCGCCACCGGGCTGGCCCTGTGATTTTTTTACATTAATGATTCTTTACCATTTTTGGAATCACACTCCTTTACTTTTTTCACCTCACCAAGTCTTTTTTTTATTTTGAGATAAAATTCACAACATAAAATTCAATGTTGTAAATACTTGAAAATGTACAGTTCACTGGTTTTTAATATATTCATCATTTTATGCTATCATCATCATTATCTAATTCCACAATATTTCCATCACCCTCCAACCCCCCCAAAACACCCAGTCCCCCGCTCTTTCCCTCTCCTGGAAAACACTAATACACTTTCTATATCTATGGATTTGCCTGTTTTGGACATTTCGAATAAATGGAATCATACAACATGTGGCCTTTTGTGTCTGCTTTTTTTGCACTTAGCATAATGTTTTCAAGGTTCAATACTTATTCCTTTTTAAGACTGAATAATATTCCACTGTATGGATACACCACATTTTGCTTATCCGTTTATCACTGGTGGACATTTGGGTTGTTTCCACTTTTTGGCTGTTGTGAATAAACGGCCTTCTTTTTTAATAATCAAGAGAAAGATGTGGAGCCTGTCACTGAAAAAAATGCATATTCTCTCTATGTGCAGTGTTGCACAGAAAATCTCCTCCTTCCATAGAACCTCCTGTTTTTCTGCTTTACTTGGTAGATTATTGCCATCTTTCTGGAGTAAAAAAGGCAAAGAGGAACAAAACACACTTACATGTAATCTGCCTTTTGTTGAAGCTTCTCATTTTTGTTACTTTAAGAGAGTGTTTCTGGGTAGGTTGATAGAGTGATAGAGGAAGAATTTTAGTTTAGAGACAAACTTCTTAGTAGACCTGTGCTTTTGTTGACTGACAGTGATATGCTGCTAGGGAAAGTCTGTGAAACAGAAGAAGAGATTTAAAGTGTTTGTACCTTTGAGCACAAGTAACAATTTTCATGTTTTTACATGCATGCAGCCAAAGCAAAGGACTTCCGTTATAACTTGTCAGAGGTACTTCAAGGTAGGCTATTGGAGATGTGTTTTAAGTCTCTTGTGTTAGTCTCTAAAACCTCCTCCTCCTCCTACTAATTTAGTTATCGTCTGCATCAGAGCATGTAAGTGGTAGGACCAGTTTCCCCTTTGAAGTCTGTCAGAAAGTGTAGTATTTTCTATCTTTTTAATGTTATTTGAGCTCTGTGCTGTATATAGCCTCCACCTGCGGATAGATCAGTGCTTTTCATTTATATTTTCTTAGCAAAAAAAATAACTTCCTTATCTCTCCACTGTTATTATCATCATCGTTTGTAATGTGTGTGTGCTTTCTAAACCAGACTTTTCCATAGCAAGTTAACTATCTTCCTATGTAGAAACAAGACTCTGGGAGGGTAAAGAATGGTCATAGCCACTGTACTCCAAAAGTTGCCTGCTCTTACACAATGTTTTAATTTACGTTTTATTAAAGAAATGGTAACAGTGCTGCCAACTGGTGTTTTATAATGCTATATTTGTGAATGTTGATTAAAATATTGCTATGCATTATGTCTCTTCAGAGCCATTTTCCAGTGATGAATTATAAATCATGTTGATTTTAGGACGTTTTTTAGGAAATTGAATGTAACTGACTCATATTTGAATGCTAAACATAATAGTGCTCTTAGATGATAAAGGTTTATTAGAGCCTTAGAATATGTATTTACTGTTCTTGAAGAGGAAAGGCCGTAGTGGTGGTGCCTTCTCAGCTCATCTGTTTTAAGCCTTCTTTTTTTCCTTAGTAGTAGATGGCCAGTGCTAATTAAGTTCTTAAGTAGGATAACTGCAAGTTTTCCTCTATAAATTCAAGAAGCCAATTATACTTTGTTTCCAGAACAGTGTTTTTTTTAAGGTTGATTCATGATGCTTTTGTTGTAAATCATTTTTTTTTAAATTTTATTTTTATTTTTTAATTTTTTTTAATAATTTTATTTGTTTGTTCTCCCCCCACCACCAAAGCACCAGTAGATAGTTGTATGTCATAGCTGCACATCCTTCTAGGTGCTGTATGTGGGACGCGGCCTCAGCATGGCCGGAGAAACGGTGTGTTGGTGCACGCCCGGGATCCGAACCTGGGCCGCCAGCAGCGGAGCGCGCGCACTTAACCGCTAAGCCACGGGGCCGGCCCTCTTGTAAATCATTTTTGTAAAATATAAAATTAATTGTCCTCATATTATACTCAATGATTTCTATGTAGTCTTTATTTGAGGTTTGGTGGGTGTTCTTTTTGTTTTGAATATTGATGGTGTGAGGAACTTTCATACTTTAGAAACACTGCATTTCATGTTACTGTTAGAAATGGATCGATATTGTTTCTTATATATGTTGAAAATTTTACCTAAAATATTTTTCAGCAGTATAATAAAAAATTATTCTGTAGTGATTAAATTTAAACCTTTAAAGAAAATATTATTTCAGTTATATTTCTTAGATTTGTTAGGTGGACATTTCTTGAATCTCTAAGTGAATTGCTCTCAATTTTAGGTAAGATATTTATTTAGTACTGTTTTTTAGGATTTAAGGAGGAAAGAATTGCATTGACTGGTAACATTTATGGCTGATGTGCAGGACTGCAATAAGTGGTTAATACCTTATTAAATTTGTTTCCCCTTTGTTTCCATATCCATCTTTCCTCCCCTCTTGTAGGAAAACTGGGAATCTATGATGCTGATGGTGATGGAGATTTTGATGTGGATGATGCCAAAGTTTTATTAGGCAAGTACACATTTTATTTTTTGTTAGTGGTAGTAAAATGCTGGAAACATTCAAGAATATTTTTGCTTTAATAATATGTCAGTCATATACATTTTATGGAAGATATTTTCCCACTTAAACCATATGTTTTTGTTGAGATGTTAAATGGCTTAATTATTTTTCTATAAACTGTCACATTTCACTTGACTTTTATAAATGGATAAGTATATAGCTCTTGTACAGATATTTTTAGTAAGTATAATAATTTCATATGTTTTCAGATTCAAAGCACTTCATATTCTGAACTTAATATTTGAACATATAGATTATGTCTTAGTCTGTTTTCAAATATGGTAATTACAGCCATTCTTTAGCATCATTTGACATAATTCACTTCCATTTGAAAATGTAAATTTCAAAAAGCTTATGTAAAAATGTCCTATGTGTATTTGAAAGGTAACATTAAAATATGAACTAGTAGTCTTTGGCCTGTTTCTTTATTTTGAAAGTCTTGGACCCTTCTCTTTCTATCACCAGAATTACTTGTCTTTATCATTGAGATGTTTGTTCTAATAAATAAAGATGTGATATTCCTTCATTTGTTTCAAAATGCTGTCTTACTGGAAAGGATGGTGCTAATTTTAATATGCAAATTTTTTATTCTGTGGCCTGGTGAGATATGTATTTCTGCTTATTAAATAGCATCATTTCCTTTGCTTTAGTATGTAGCATAATATGTATTAAAACTTTTTATATTTAAAGTCTTTAGGAAAGTAATGAATATGGCATGGTATTATACGCCAAATTTAGTAGAATAATGGCACAAAGAAATTCTTCCTAGACACACAATTTTGTGTATATTTTATGAATACGAAAAAATGGGATGATATCACATCTGTAACCAATGAAACTTTTCAGGAGATTAATCTTACCTCTTTATAAAACCGTAAGTTCTAAATATGAGAAAAAGTTTTAGTTGTGATTAAATATAATAAAGCTTTTTAATTTTGACTTTAGTTTATGTTTTCTTATTACTGCTCAGTGGGAATTATGTTTGCTACTTAACAGTGGAAGCTTACTATCCATGAAATTTCTTTCCCTGTCTTAACTTTGATAGAATTTTCTATGTAATTCTGTTATTACATATCTAAATTTGAGTTTCTATAAATATAGTAAATACTCAGAAGACTATAATCCTAGGCATGTGAAAGAAAGAAAATTATATAGAACTTAGAATGATGCTGATTTGCTTGCCTGTAAATGGTTTATTACTCCATTATATTACTTTACTTTAAATGTTGGATTCTGAATAGTAAAACTTTTTGTATTAAAGATAACTTGATGTGGGCCAAGTTCCCTTATTTTTAGAAATAATATTACTTCTCATCTACTATATTTTGTTGATTTTTTTGGGAGAGGGGCTTAAAATCAGCTATCTGGTCTGTCAGCTAGGAAGTGTCAACTATTAAAAATTAAAACATCTTATTTCTTTTATAGAACACACTGATTTCTATAGCAAACTTACATTAATAACTTGCTTTTAGTTTGATATTTTAGATTTTAAAAGTTTATTCACCTTAAGGTTTTTAAGCAACCATTAAGAGTTTAATTAGTTGTAATTTAGAACATTGCCATTTGCAGGTAGACACATAAGTGGTACAGGCAAATCTTAACTTGTTCCTTTTACAAAAATTATATACTTGGAGGTCGAGCCAAATTTGCTGAATCTGAGGGTTCATTTTGGTAATTTGACTATTAAATGCACAAAGGCTAAGATTAACTTATTTTACCGTATATATGTAGGAATTCACAGTTGGCTGTGGCTGTAGTAAAGTTGCAACAAACCAAAGTTGAATTGTCAGGCTCACTTATGCCCTCTATTTCATTTCTGTAGTGTTTGAATTCTCTGCACGAAATATAACCTTGACTGAAATTGAATTTTATGACTAAAGTTCTTTTCTAGTTTGTGAGGTTATTGTAGCTTAGTTGTGGCTCTATTACTCACATGTGGTTATAAGAATCTGGTGAAATTCTTGGAGTTTAGAGACATTAATGGGCTCTGTATGTTGAGGGAGAAGTTATGGGGGGAGCAAATTTAATGAGTGTATACCCAAAAAGGAGCCATACTTTCTGGGTACATTCTCATTGGAGAGGCCACTCAAGGGTAAGGGTTTTGGATTAAGGCAGAGGGAGTTCAAAGGGAAGCATGAAAGCGAGAAAGCGGAGATTGGGGGAGAGCTTGGCATGGTAGGTAGAGTAATAGTTATGTTGAACTTCTGTAGGTTTGGCATTTATTTCATTAGTACTCCTTTCTGGTTTCTTACATCAGAATATATATTCATATCTTACCAATCTGAGGAAATATATACATTCGTGTATACATTTCTTTTACATTTTAAGGTGTGACTTTTCTTGTGAAATGTAAGGAGAGAATGAAATATGTGTGAGTAAATCAAGATCAGTAGCCATTATTAATTTTATTATTTCATTATTTCTGGCCATGGCCCCCTTATGATATACTTTGAAAATATTCTAACTCTATTCTGGTTTACGTAGCTTCCACTTTTATGGCCAAATTATCAAAAACAAAGTATCTTTGATTTTGGTTTTGATTATTGAAAACTACATTGTTTGAAATGTATTGTTTGGAAACTTGTTTCCCAAATAAAATCAGCAGGAAAATGATCTGAAGACTAAATGCCGAGAGTAGCATCTTCTTAGAGTAACGCCACCTCAAGATTACATAGTTATCCTTTTGTCCTATGACTAGCACCTAGCTGGCACCATATCAGGTATGGCTGGAGAACAAAAGGGAAGCCAGTCAACAATTCCTAGAGCCTTGACAAACATTCATAGACAGGATAGATGCATGAGTGAGCTGAGGGACAGGACTGGACCTTGCCCAGTCAAAGGCATTCACACTCTGCTCTGTGGGTTACACCTACTCTTAGAGGTTAAGAAAGAATTGTATATCCAAAGTATTTTCCTTTTCTCTTTGGATTAGTATTTTATCTTAACCACAGGAAGGTTGCATAGTTGGGTAAATAGTTTTGTTCAGATACTTTTGCGTATTTGTTGTACACGTCAGCCTGTCATACTGAAGGGTGGTAAAGTTTTATATTTTATATTCGATACTTGGAGGTACTTATATTGGAAAATGGAGAAAAATAAAAATATTTAGCCTAAATATACAGCTATGGTGTTTTAAGGCAGGAAGAAGAAACAGTGTTATTCCCACAGAGACTTGGGTGGTGGGAGTACAGTTCTCCTCTGTTCACAGCACTTGTGCAGTTCAGTGAAAAAACATTCTGAGTTTGTCAAAAGTAATTTAAATACCAAGTACAGTTTGTGTCCCGCGCCCCTCCCCCCCCCCAATATATGAAGAATGACATAGTTCTTCTATGGACTAAAGTGGGGAAAATTCACTATGATGTTTGATATTTATACTAGTTGTCTTATTATTATCCGTTACTTGCCAATCTTGATTGCTGGTGGTTATGCTACGTGGAGAAATTCTGTGTTGCCAAAGCCTGAAATACTACGTTAGTGGTTATAATCTGAACAGCTCTAAAGTCATGAATGTTCACATTTCTTATAGCTAGAACACGCCACCCTGTTTTTTTCCTCCTCAAAATTATGGGTCTTGCTGTATAGACTTTGGCAGTGTTAGTAGACTTTAATACCTACTGAAGCCAAGAGACCTTTCCTACCCAAAGTCGATTCTTCAGAGGAAAAAAACAATGATAAAAACAATACGTACTCTGCTTTCTTCCATCATGGGGGCCTGTGTTGGGACTGAGACTTAAAAACAGCAAGAGTGAGGGGTCTTTGCCATAGAATTTCATGGGCTTATGGGGAGAGAGCTTCTGAATGTTTCTGTTGCAAATAACTAGCTAAGGCCTGATTGAATTTCATATTGGTAGTCAGAGTGAATTATTATTAATAGCTGACTCTTACTATTGGCCAGAACTACAGGACCGTGAGTTGGTAGCCAGAGCGTTGTAGAGCTAACATATTTTATAGTGTTAAAATTTTAGTTATCTGAATTACATAATTTGAGTACATTTCTACCCGTGTATGGAGGCTATGATCAGTAATCCTGCTATTCATATTAATTCTAGAGTTTCCTGAGTTAACTCCAAGTCCTAAGGGGAAAAGTTTGGGGAAATGAACCTTTCTATTTTCAGTGAATATGTATTGATATATGTAAATGTTTGTATAATCAACTCTCGATAATATCTGGTTGGTAAAGGAGCAAATCTAGAGGTTGTCGGAAGTATCTATCTTTTTGCCCTCATACTACTTTTACTCAGTCTTCCCATTGACATTAGTCAATCGATTTTAGCTGATACAATTTTGTGTTTTTCAGCTTTAGATTCTCTAATGAGACAAAGGCAAACCTGGTTAGGTGCCGGTAGGAATGGTGAGGATTGTTCAAATTGTGCCTTTCCTTGAGCACATATGATTGAGAGTTGATTGTAAAGTGTGCATCTTAATTGATTTCTTTATTTTCCAAAATATCTTTTCTGTAAACTTCTGTGACCATGATGCACATCCATTTTGAGATCACTCTTCCTCAACTTCTTTTTCTGCCTAACTGCTCTCCTTATTTTCTCTTTCTCTCTTCCTTTATTCTTATGTAGGCCTGACCAAAGATGGCAGTAATGAAAATATTGATTCCCTTGAGGAAGTCCTTAATATTTTAGCAGAGGAAAGTTCAGATTGGTTTTATGGTTTCCTCTCATTTCTCTATGATATAATGACTCCTTTTGAAATGCTAGAAGAAGAAGAAGAAGAAAGCGAAACCACAGATGGTGTTGATGGTACGTCACAGAATGAAGGGGTTCAGGGAAAGACTTGTGTCATTTTGGATTTACATAACCAGTAACTTGGATTCAGGGACTGATGTCATTGCCTTATGAAAACCCTGAGCAGTCTCCTTTTTCTTCCTTTCCATCGCTCACCCAGGGCTTAATGTGCAGTGGGGCAGCTGCGGTCCTATAATACAAGGCAACCACGTG